AAAAAAAAAAAAAAAAAAAAAAAAAAAAAAAAAAAAAAAAAAAAAAAAAAAAAAAAAAAATTTCTCAAACTAATCTTAATACTGTGGACTGTGGCAGAATATTTGAGAAGAAAAGTATAGTTTTTGTTGCCATGCAATTAATGAAATGGAGACTTGCATTCAATTTAACACTGCAGTTGTTTCTGCCATTTTCATTTTTCATTCATCTTTCTTTCAACAAACATGTAATGGTTAATGCATGCAAGGTAGGCAGTGTGCTGGCCATAAGATTACGAAGAAACAGAGCTCCTGCTCTCCATCAGCTTTCGCCTCCAGGAGAAGGAAGACAAGTGGTAGTTTATTTCAGTGCCATTTGCTAAGAGTGTACTAGAGATAACAGATTGATTTGGGGACGCAGAGAAGAATGTTTTGGAGGGGACAAGAAGAGGAGGCATCAGAGCCTTCTTCATCTTCCTCATGAAGGAAGCTAGTTTTCTTAAAATTTAAAGAACTAACAGATGATTTAACATTTTTATTAAAAGTTTTATTGTTATCTAATTGTGGAAAAGGTTTTGAATGTCCGTTCCCTCAGTAGGTTGAAAGTACACTTCCTAAAATCGTGTTCTGTAGTTACCAAAAAGAAAGTGAGTCCAAGAGCAGATATTCTGGTAGTCCTTTCTCATGTCTGTGCTCTGCCGATGGCGTGAGGTTGTCACCTCTGAGTGATGGTGCAGACAGATTGGCTGGTTCTGAAGGATCAGTAATACCAGCTACGTGTCAGCATCAGGTTATAGCTCTTTAAATCACTCTTTCAAATTAAAGTCCTAGATAAACGGTGGGCAGTTTCCAGCCTTTGAATTCTCCTCAAATTTTATTATATTGTAATATCCTGCCATCAAATATTTCCACTCCTGCAGAGTAATTCAGTATGTCATGGAGTGATATGTTTCCAAGATAAAATATTTCATTTTAAACTAATTATACTTCATTTGCAAACTTACATTTCCCTGAGATGGACTAATATATGTATCTCTGATTCTGGAAATTTCCATCTTCTGCCTTGCATTGACAGGACTGAGGAAGTGAATTTCCACAAAGTAGATGTGTTAGTCTCCTTTTCCAATTCTTCTATTTTCCCCTCTGCTCTGCCAGTGTTGCAGGATACCTCAAAGCTGAAGACATCCCTGTGGGTTATGTAACAGCAGATCTGGGCATAGCTTCCAGTGGGTGGTGAGCTCATGACCCTTTCTGTCCCCTGTTTTCAACAAGTAGTGGGACCAGGGGTGGACTCTGACTTCACATACAATCCTGCCTGTGTCCTGTCTTTTTCCTTCATTCACGTCCACCATAGATGTTCCTTTTACCCTGACTTAAATGGAATACAGCATGGGAAAAGACTGTATGTAGTACATCTCCTAAGCTTGATACAACATCTCTGATGAGCTCTGACATCACACATCCCTAGGAAATTATCTAAACATAAAATGTGCAAATAGCAAAAGCATGATCTCACATTTGTTTTAATTATGCACATATTTAAAATATATTTATATTTATATATGTGACCCATATTGCTAAGTGTGATTACCAGTGGGCAGTGTGTTTGTGTGGAGGGAAGGGCAATTGTTGGGGGAAATACATTCATATATTTTTTATTCATTCGTACTTTAAAAAAAACAATTTCATATTTAAATTTTACTCTGACAATAATGGTATATATAGAAGACTGGGACTGTTTTTAAAGGAACAACAACCAAAACCCTCATAGGAAAAGACAGGGTCCATCTTGTTACCTACCATACGTGTTGATTAAGAGTGTTGCCTCTGGAGCTAGGCTGTGTTCAGCTGAGACTCTGTACCTGTTTTCTCATCAGTAAAATGGGAATAATAATAGCAACCATCTCAATCACAGTGAAGACTAATCGAGTTAATATATGTAAAGCAGAGCAGTGCCTGGCAATTGATAAGTGAGATGTGGCTACTATTATTACTGTTATTAACATACCCTCATTGACTGGGCCCTCTTGGTGTGCAGCATTTGCCTTGTAAGTCTAAGACACCTGGGAGAGCAGATTTTACTCTAACAAACCTCTCCGTAGTGATAAACATCTTCACCAAAGGCTATTGTTTAATGGTAATGTTTTAAAAATGGCTGTATCATTTTGCATATGTAAATCAGCCATTTATAGTTTGTATCATGGATGCTTAAATATGATACCCTACAGAAAATGGAAATAAGTTAGATACTGATCTGTTGTTTCTTGCTGTAATTTTCCAGGACTCAGAAGGAGTCGAAATTATGTTAGGAGTTTGTGCAAGTGGTCTGTTGATATATCGTGACCGGCTGCGAATAAACAGATTTGCCTGGCCCAAGGTTCTGAAGATTTCATATAAACGGAACAACTTTTACATAAAGATCCGGCCAGGAGAGGTAGGTACACCCACATTTGCATGCGCGTTGGGAGGAAAGATCCCTGATAGCAAGCAAACAGCTAAATTATCTGCTTATGAGTTCTGAGCATTGTGGGACACAGTGAATTACACCTAAGTGCCTGAGAGAATTTATTGTAGGTTTGTCCAATAAACAGTAATAAATAAAATGTCCTCTTTATTATGTTGTTTCATTATTTCCTACTGCATACATGAATTGAAGGGTTTTTAAAAACATATTTCAATATAAAATCCAGATTCATGAATAATTTTCTGTTTATTTCAAGCAGTGAGGGATAAATCTCTTCCTCCACCTCCTGTTGTTATTTCTCCATGCCCTATTTGTCCTGCAAATCTGATTGTACTTTAAAGTGAACACCTTAGAGGTCATGTATTTCAAGGTACAAGAAAGATTAGAACCAAGGACAACAGTGAGTGTGAATTATGTCAGTGTTCTATAGCTCAGTATATGCTTGCTTATTATTATTTTTTTTTAATCAGAGAAGCTAATGAAAGAATAGGAATTGTTAACTAGTCCTTACTCCTTGGACAGTAGCCTCCGTAATCAACTTGTGTTTATATCTTCCTTCGTGGCTTGTACCTAATAGTAACACATATCTACTCTTATTTACTTAAGAGATAGTTAATAAATACCTCAAATTTCTAATTGATGTGGTTAGATTCTAGCATACTTATATCCCTGAACATTTTCTGATATAATATAGAGTGATCTTGTATTTTCAAAATCTACTTCTCCACTGGAGTTTCTTGATGGAAAATGCAATTTTAAAAAAATCAGAATATCAGCTGGGCATAGTGGCTCATGCCTGTAATGCCAGCACTTTGGGAGGCCAAGAGTGGGAGAATTGCCTGGGCCCAGGGCTTTAAGGCTGCAGTGAGCCATTATCACACCACTGTACCCCAGCCTGGGTGACAGAGCAAAGAGCCTGTCTCAAAAACAACAAAAAATTGAAGTATAAAGCACGTAATTATGTTTAATTTGAATATAACTTCCTATCTATGGTGACTGAAATAATCTGTAAGCTTTTTATGTAAATACCTAAAATTACAGTGTTTTAAAAATATTTCCTAAAGATTATATGTTAAATTTATAGCCAATAGATAGTCATTTGACTTCTTTGAACATTTGTTAAGTGAGCATCTATTTATTGTCAGACATTAGAAATAGAAAGACAAATATGGCCTTGTTCCTTGTTAAGGGATTTTCTATTTAGCAGAAAAACGGACTCATATACTTTGATTGTAACAGCATGATGCAAATGAGATGATATTCTGTAGACATGGAGTGAGCATAGTACAGGCATTGATCGACTTACCACCTATGCAACTTACGACCATTCGACTTTACGACCACAATCGCTAGCCACAACTGCTCCGCGTCTGGCAGCGCAAACATTGCCCAGCTGGGCGTATGACGGTGCGGACCAGCTTCTGGCAGCACTACCATCTCCGCGTGCACCATTTCAACTGTACATATAGACTACTCAACTTACGACCAAATCGTGTTACGACTGGTCCGCGGTCCCGACCGTGGTCGTAAGTTGAGCACTAGCTGTATTATGAGAGGCCAGAGGGGAAAGCTAGAGAAATGAATCAGTAGACAGTAGTGAGTCATGGGAGGTTTTAAATCAGGATGTGACACGAGTGATAGATTTCTTAATGAAATTCAACTACTTAGAAACATGATGTGATAAGATCTAAATTAGGGCAGAGGCTGTGGGAATAGAATGGAGGGAACAAATTCAAGAGAGAAGTTTCAGAGGCAGAAGCAGCAGGTCTTAGAGACAGGATGGCGGAAGGAATTAAAAGAGATAAGAGTCCAGGATAATCAAAGGTTTTTGGTTTGCATGATTGAAGCCAATGGAGATGATATTAAGCAGGAGGGAAAAGGGTGAAATTTTCAGAAAAGCAATTGAAATCCCTTTGGGACAGATTTTCAGGGAGTGATTCTTGCATAGGAAGGAATTGAACAGAGTTATCAACTGTGAATATTTTATTCAGAGTCTTAGACATGGAATAAATTACTCAAAGAGCAAGGCAAGTTATAGAAAGAAAAGGCCCTGAAACTAGAACTCTGGATAATACCACTATTTGAGAAAGAGCCAAGGAAATGAAGAAATGACAGCCAGAGAAATAAAAGAAGAAACATAGACTGATAGATGACCAGGAGATGAGTTTCAGAGGAAAGTGGTTAGCTAGCAGTACCGTATGTTACAGAAAGGGCATGCAGGATGCGAACTAATAAAAGTGTTTTGAGCTTGACAGTCAGGCCCCATGATGACATTTTAGAGTTCAGAAAGGTATGAGGAGCGTCTTCCAGGACGTGTTGAAGTCAGGAGTGAATGGCAGAGGCAGCAGGTAGTGGCTTCTCCTTCCAGAAGTTTAACAGTGAGGAGTGAGACGGGGTTGTGCTGTTGTCAGAGGCAGGCTCAGAGAAAGCTGGTTTTTCACTCCTCTTCCCTCTGGTTTTATGATCCTATTTTGAGCCTGAGAAGAGTGAGAAGAAATTATTGGGGATGCACAGGCTCTGAAGAGATTGAAAGAAATTGATAGAGAAATAGATATTAATTCAGGTAGCCTAGAAGCCTGCATCATCCTAGCCTACAGAGGTTGGCAGAGACTCCTCCCAGCTTCTTGCAGCAGAGTGCAAGCTGACTCTTCCTTATAACCACTGGCATTGGCATAATATGTGCATATGAGATGCAGGATGAATAAATGGATGATGGTTTAGTCATGAGCCACACTATGTCTGTCTTGACTGGGTCCCTTGGACAGTAGTGATGTTTACAAACACCACTGCATGTGAACATCCAGAGTGAATAAGAAGTTGGGAAAAGACAATTGCAGTTGGAGCAATTGTGATGTATTTCCCACTTCCCCTAATCATCCTCAGCAAACAAGAAATAGAGGTCAAGCCTGATTGTATCTCACATGCTGTGCATTTGACCCCTCATCTTGGCTCTTTGCCACATAAATTATTTTTACTATTGATTATAGCAGTAGTTCGGTTGTTTGCTCTTTTGGAAAGCCTTTGCTGTTTAAGTTGATTGCCCTCTGGTGGTCTGATATGTACCTTCTTCAGAATATGAAAACTTGCACGCCTGCAATAATAAAGTATAATATGCAGGAAATGAGATGAGTATTTAACCTCAAAAAATCAAATGGCTGATAAAGCATCATCTGAAATGTACATGCTGAAAAATATGAAAGTATGTTCCCCCAATCTGTGGTCTTAGGTATGATATAGAGAAACATTAGCATCTAAAATGATAATCCATAATGGAATACACAAATAAAATCAGCAATCTCTGATACCAAGTCATCAACTACCTAAGAAATATATATATTTCCTGACCAGATATTTGAAGAAAAATGTCATTTCTAAGAATACTGTAGACTGTATCTGTAAACATTTTGTTCATTTCTGTACCTTCCAGTTGAAGTCATTGTGTCATTGAGAAACCATGAAAAGTTTAAAAGTGGTATCAGGCAAAATTGATTTCTGGAAGAAATCCAAAAAATCCTTTTTGTGTTTAGCTTTCAGTTGTATCATAAGATACACACTTATTCAAGACATTTTACTGTATACATAATATGGCTGTTTATACCTGCAGCATTTTAAAGACCCAGCTTTTTAAATCAGTGAATGTATATAGAATGTATTATGCATATAGCAATTGATCTAGTTAGTAAATTTTTAAAATTCTGGTGGCATTATGATTTTGTAAGTTATTTACAGGGCTTCTGTTATTCATAATTTTAAACTTTACTCTTCAATGTATTTTTTTTTTAATTTAGTTTGAACAATTTGAAAGCACCATTGGGTTTAAGCTGCCAAACCATCGAGCTGCCAAGCGTTTGTGGAAAGTTTGTGTTGAGCATCATACGTTTTTCAGGTAGGAAGAGATTATTTTGTTTTTTTCCCTAAGGAATAATTATAATCACTTATACTGAAAAAGATTATCAGGAAGAGAAATATGGAATTTTATCCTCAGTATTCCTTCAAGTTCATTCTCACCATATTTCTTGATGAGAAATCCTAACAGAACTAGAAAAAGACTAAATTTGAAGGATTTTCCTTAATTTGTCAAGTACTTACATGTCCCACCTCCCCTACTTCTTTAGTGTCTTTACATTGTTTTTAGAATGTCCACTTCAAATAGCCAATCCATTCCTTACTATTTCAATTCCTTACAATTTCAGTGATTGCTCAATATCCTGTCTGTCTTTACCTACCTGCACATAGTATGAGACCCATCAATAGACATCCAATAGCAAATTACCACTCTTCTTCACTAATATCGCCTATTTAGTTGCTGTTTGGGCTTACAGAACCATAGACTGTCCACTCTGCATGGAATGTTAAAAGTTCCTCTAGTTTAGTACAACCCCAATTTGCATATATCCTCTCTACAACATCCCTGGTTGATGTATATCATGTGCATTTTTTTAATGAAATCAGATTTATTTAACTGCAAGTTATGTGTTAAACCTTTAGCACACAAAACACATGACCTCGCAGAATATCAAGTTTAAAAAGCACTCTCAATATTGGTCTTAATAGTCTTTCTGCTGTTTTTCTGTATTCTCTTTAGACTGTTGTTACCAGAAGCACCTCCCAAGAAATTCCTAACCTTGGGTTCCAAGTTTCGTTATAGTGGCAGGACACAAGCGCAAACGAGAAGAGCCAGTGCGTTGATAGATCGCCCAGCGCCTTACTTTGAACGCTCGTCCAGCAAACGTTATACCATGTCTCGCAGCTTGGATGGAGGTAGGCATCACTTACTGGCCCTTAATAACCCTAGCAGCTACCCCTAAAAAAGTATGAAACTATCATGAGCTTTCAATAAGCATAGATCTTCCTGGATGTTGTACATTGGAAAGCAGTTGTTGCTCATTGGCTGAAAGGCAGATTTTTAAGGCCCCCCCCCCAGTGAAATAAAAGTGGCTTTGTCAGTCTAACATCTGCAGGTTTATGTAAAATAACATAAAATAATGGCACTCAGGGAATGAAGAAAATAGCTTTCATAAGCTGACACCCTGAATTTGGAAAAAGATGCTCTCATTCTAAATATAGTTGTCACATACTCTGTGATTTGATTTCCTTGCCGACAGGTCTTAAAGGATTAGTAGGTTTAAGACTATTTGTTTCATAAATCTGTAAGTTAAATTTATTTGTCTCTAAAACATTTTATGAATAAAATGTGACCTTTATCAATCAGTTGATAATAGCTGGTAGAAAGGACGGTATGCAAATGACAGAGCAAAGGGCTGTAAGTTAAATTCTCCTGGTTGTGCTAATTACTGCACCAGATGGGCTGGGAGAACAGTGCTGTGTGGGGGTTCTGTACTGCCAAGGCGAATTAGTCAAATGGAGAGATGATCACTCAAACAACCTTTGTAGGGGATAACACAACAGTGAATTTTTAGTAGGGTTTTGTTTTATCAAACAGTTTCTTGATTGCTCTCTGGAGTAATATGGAGGCACGCTTTCTGCTGCAAGGCGTGCCCACTGTAGCAGTACTTGGGGACTGAGTCATGTCTGGGTCTCTGCCATTTAGAGCACCTGGAGATTCACTGTTTTTAATAGAAGATCTTAACCTGTGCAAATAGAAAGAATGAAAAGTTTCTGGTGTGCACGTACAATTTCAATAATAAGGAAAAACATAATTAAAAATAAACAAAAGTTACAAGTGCCTAGGACCATCTCCCTTCCTACCTTTTTTGCCACTGTTCCCCTGAGAAGCTCTGCCTTCCCCATTTCACTATCCAGGTGATTGACGGGAAGAGGTGCTCCTTGAATCTCCCAACTAAAAACAACAATCTTTTTCTAATGGAATACTTTATGAACAGTTTATAGAAGAAATCAAAATAGCATTATTAGTGCTATGTTATGTATGCCACTGGTGAGGTGGGAACTGTACTCATGCAGCATTGTTAAATCCAGACTGAAGTCCAGGCTCCGCTGCCCTCTGTCTCTGTGATGGTTGGCAAATGATTTCAACTCTCCAGGTCTGTTGTAGTCATCTGTGTAATAGGAATAAGGCCACCTTTGACAAGGCTGTTGTGAAAAGCAAGATATATGTGAAAGCACTCTTGTTACGTAGGCAATTATCTCAATAATCATACTGATAATTACTCTTTTTTCACATTCTTAAATATTTCAGTAGCTTTGAGGATACAAGTGGTTTTTGGCTACAAGGATGAATTGTATAGTGGTGAAGTCTGAGATTTTACTGCACCTGTCACCTTAGTAGTGTACATTGTACCCAATATGTAGTTTTTTAAAATCCCTCACCCCTCTCCCACTCTCTGCCTTGAGTCTCCAGTGTCCATTATATTTCTCTACATACTTTTGCATACCCATAGCTTAGTTCCCACTTACAAATGAGAACATATGGTATTTGACTTTTCATTCCTGAATTACTTCATGTAGAATAATGACCTTCTGCTCCATGCAAGTCACTGCAAAATACATGATTTCATTCATTTTTATGACTGAGTAGTATTCCATGGTGTATATATTTTCTGCATTTTATACTGATAATTATTCTCACAGGCTTTTGTGAGTTAGCCTAGGAAGTTATTACCATTGTGTGTCTTCTGAGAGTTTCTGGAATACCAAACTTAGAGCCAGCCCTTTTGAGTACAATAGTTATCAGGACCGCTTGGAGTTGAATTAAGATATTGAAATACCCCTATTAACATTGAAGCTTTTCTTTCTGGTTTGTCCTATTGACTCTTCTTTTTCCTTTAGAGCGTCTCTATTACCTATTTCTATATGTTATTGGTATTTGTGGAACTTTGTAGAATCGCACTTTTTTTTCCCTGAATATCATCCTCTTTGTTCAATGATGTGCATCCCAGGGAACACATTTGTTGTGAATGTTGTTTGCCTATGACCTTTTGTGTAATGATGACTGCAGAGAAGACAGAAGACAATTGTGAAATCAATATAGTAATGCCATGCTGTCTCTTTCTCCCTGCCCAAAAGTGATGTTAGTATGTGTTGTCTCTCACTCTTTGTGGTCCTGCTAGCTCTAGTATGTTTTCCGCTGCTATTGAGCTGGGTGGCACAGCTGCATGTTGCAACATAAACTGCTTTTTTGCAGGTTGCATCTTGCAGAGCATGGCCTAACTGGTCCATTAGGAAACTGTGTCTCACATGAGCTTTTTCAACAGTATAAAGAGATATAAAATATCTTAGTGAAGATATTTTAGTGACATAATTTAGCTATCAAAAAGATTTCAGAAAGAATTTCATTTCAGAATCCTTTCTTTTATTTACAATTTACAATTCCTAAAATAATAATGTAGATTATATTTTGTCTGTGTTTAGTTAATGTGTATTTGAAAAGCAACATTTGTAAGTTTTAATAAATTTTATATCTAAAAATAATGAATACTAAATTTTAAAATTAACTCAGTTAAGCATCTTTTCACTAAGACATTTTAGCTGGGATGAAAGGTTATGTCTTACTCTCTTATGTTTGCATGTTTTGCATTTGCATGAATTTCATTTAGCAACATTTGTCGTGTTTTCCCAAAATATTAGAGATGAATAAATGTATATGCATATTATGATAGTCTGTTTAAAATGCAGTAGAAATGAAAACATTTCTGTAATTTAGATGAATGGAATTGCCATCTGAATTTTATAATCTCTACCAAGATGGTTAATTTTTATTATTACTCATGGAGCTTTTATATTGTAAGAATGATAGGTTTTCAACATTAATAATAATAATATGAAAACCAATCCAGTGCTCCTTGGTGAATGACACTTCCAAAGAGCCAAGTGTATGAGAGCAATTGTGTACTGCAGAGACTGCTGTTAGGTGTGGAGTTGGCCACTACGAGACGGGTACCAGTGCCAGCCTGTGACTCCAGGGAATAACAGGCCCAGTGGCAGCTTAGCCTCGTGACCCTCCACTCACCCCCACCCTTACACACATCCTCACAAGAGAGCCTGAGGGTGGATGAAATTTTAAGGCATGAGCATTTCAAGAATTTGAAAGCACTAATATTACAGGAAATACGGGAAGGTCATGCTTCCATGAAGGTCCCTGCAGCACTGATTTGTTTTTTCAAGACTAAGCTGGTATTTTGTGATGGTATTTTTTTGGTGGTGTTCATCTGTCTTCTGACTTAACTATTTTGGATTTTATTTCTTCAATTGTATTTGCTTTTAGCATCAGTGAATGAAAACCATGAAATATACATGAAGGATTCTATGTCTGCTGCAGAGGTTGGTACTGGCCAGTACGCCACAACAAAAGGCATCTCTCAGACCAACTTGATCACCACTGTGACTCCGGAGAAGAAGGCCGAGGAGGAGCGAGACGAGGAAGAGGATAAACGGAGGAAGGGGGAAGAAGTCACGCCCGTCTCAGCCATCCGGCACGAGGGAAAGGTATAGCTCCCAGGCTGCCAGCTAGAGCTTGCTCCAGCTTTTAAGAATGACTAAATGATGAGGCTGTAAACTAGGAATGTGCTCAGATTTAGGGTAAATCATATGTCAGCTCTGGTCACATTCATATGTCATTTTTTAAATTATGATTCCTTTTTCAACATTTTCCTCTGAAAGACTCATTGGTAGCTCTTTGGGAAAATTTTTATTTTAACAACTTGTGTGCTATGTAAGACTTTCAATAGCTGTCCTGTATGTGTATCTTAAAATACTTTTGGTGGCGTACTACACTTTTCTGTTTGGGCTCACATTTCAGAACTGTCAGTAAAGCTGTTTTCTTTGTTTCTGGCCCTATTCTCCTACCCAAGTACAGCATATTTTCTAGATATCCAATTATCATATTGCCATTCTTCTGACTATAAGTACATGGAGTGACCACAGCCTGTATATTTATACTTACAATCTAATCAGCAGAGTAGTGACCAGCCATGTTTTGAAAAGGTATCTCAAGGCAGAAAGTTGCAACAGAAGATAAAAAGTGAATTTGGCAGCACAGTTTCTTCTTTCAGTGTATCATTCATTAAACTTTGTAACATCGTTTCACCACAAATTAAATACCTTTTTTAACATAATTTTTAAACATTATGTTTATTTCTTGTGGTCCAGCACTATAAAACAACTTTTCAGAAAAATTATTTAAAAGTGAAAAAACACTTCAGGAGGTTTATACCTAATAATAATGGAAAAACAGTGTACAGAGCGTAGAGTAAGTAGAAATAGAATGAAAATGCTTTAACAGCCCATGGGCTATCCTGAAACTTGAGTAAATTTGATTCACAAGTGCTCCTTTGTGTATAGGCTCTTTCAATGGAAATGGAGAATCACTATCTCAGATTTTATGGAAAGTGTTCTTTTTGACAAGAATTTGGCAGTGACATCTTAATATAGACAAATAATTTTGACCCAATCCATCACCTTTTATTTTTTAAGATACGATCATTTATTTGGCAAACACAAAGATAAGTACAGAGTAGGAAATCCAATGGCAGGGATATTTCGATAACTTTTGCTGTTAAAATGTGCTTTGTTCTAAATTTTGTTTTTACACTCTACCTGTCTATTTAGTCGAGGAAGGCTTTAAAGAGAACAGAAAATAAGATAATCCACCCAACAAATATGTGGTTCTTCCACTTAGTTATCCTAACATTTTGTAAAATTGCCATGCCAACATATGACTGCCATGGTTCTATAAATATGAAGAAGTGACACATCAAAGTAAATGATTTTCAGTTTTGCTCCCAAGATAAGGGAAGGCATTTTCACTTTATTTAATTTTAAAATAAATTAAATTAAATAATTTATATAATAAATTCATATAATAAATTATTATATAAATAAATAAATTCATATAAAATGTAGCACTCAGCTGTCCTCCCTTGCTGCCATTTGTGACATGGAAAAATAAAGGACACTGCCAGCCTCATAGCCTGAGTCTCTGAGAAGCCAGTACTCTGGGCAGAATGTCTTCAGGAAGTCTGTAGCTGAAATCTGGTGCTGGTATAGTTGTGGGCTGGCTTGGTTTCCCCAGTGCAAAGCTGTCTTTTAAAAATGACTTTAATAATCAGCATGAAAGGTTAAACCTTAATGTTATCCTCTATCTTCAAAAAGTAACATAGAGGGTACTTATTGTTCAACCAAAATGAAAGTGTATTACTGAAAATAGTTCTTGAAAGGCTGGTTCCCTAGGTTGCCTGGGAAGGAGGCACGTTTCCCAAGCAGGGATCCCCCGAGTCATGGGCCACCTCACCTCCGTGCTGGAGGACAGTTGTCTTCATGCAGAAGTTAGCCTGTAGCACCTACATTATTCTTAGTTGAATGAGATTTGTGCAGATTCCTGTTTAAAGGGCAGTGTTTAATGTCAAAAGTGAGTGTGTGGGAAAAGACATACTTGTCTCATAGTAAAAAGAGACCCCTCCAATGGCGAAAGGCTATGATTTTATTTGTGTTTTCTTTCCCTCATGCCTCAGATGTAATTTTATTTGTACATTTTCTTTCTGCCTGTTGCTATATATACCACTTCTCCCCAAGTCAGGATTGGATAACCATACCAGGCAGGCTGGGTAATTTCTATGCTGTCAGATCAATGGGCAGAACACACACACACACACACGCACACACACACGCACACGCACGCATGCACACACACACACGCATGCAGTGATAAAGACAGCAGCAGGAGTCTAATCACCTGCAGGGTTGGACTTCCTGGCCCTCAGCAGCTCCTGTCCCATCCCAGGTCCTGCTTGGGGCTTGCGTGCTTTCCTTCCTCCCCTTCTTGTCAGGCAGCCCCTCCACCACTTGCAGAAGAAACTGGCCATGGTGGTCCTGGACACTTCCAGGACCCAGAGAGGAGAGGAAGTAGATTCACTTTCCCCATAAAAGCTTGAGCTCACCAGAGGAGCACTTGCAGAAAAGTCTGCATTCATCATTGTATTAAGGACTCAAAGATCTAAACATGCCCTTTATCTGCTAAGAAAAATCAGAAGGCTGGGGAATGATATTTTTCTATTATTATGCATCATAAATAATAGAAAGTAAACCCTGGCAAAGCATATTACAAGAAAACACATTGTTTTTGCTAGTTAGCTTGTTGAAACCACTTGAAGTTCTACTGACATCTTAAATAAAGGAGCCAAAATGGAGTTTTCAAGGGAACCTCAGTTCTTTGTGAGGAGACAGATATTCAGGAATGCTAAGTGTCGAATCCTTGATTCTAACTACTTATCAGATAGGAGTGGGGCCAGAAACTTCTTGATTTGGAATATAAACTCCTTGTTTTTCATGTAATTGAATAACCAAGGAAAGGATTAATGCTGGAGATTTTTTTTTTAATCAAAGTCCAGATTGGATTTCATCTTCATTTTTAATCCAGCTGAACTATAGTAACAGCTCTGCTACCTGGAGTTCAGGAGAAAGTTATTGAAAGTCTTGATTTTAAGTTATCAGATTTATTTATGTTTGCTCCCCAAAACCTGAAGCTTTCTAGAGTTGTTGGTCTATAATGAAATTTTTTGATCATGTGAAATGTGCAAACTTTGGGATTTCCCACAAATACCTTCTGTTCTGAAGTTTTAAAGAATTCTACCCTGTATGTGATGGTCTAATGGGAGAAATGTGGCCATTCATGGCAACATTGGCATGCAGCTTGAATACTTTCAAATTCATGAGCAACCCTAGTGCTAAAATTTTTGTTTTACAAGTTTATATTGATACCCAAAAGAAAATTAACTAATTGCAGTTTTCTTTTTGTCCTTTTGCACCTCTGTTTGCTGCTTTCTGTCTCTCTCTGTCTCTTTCACATCAGTCACCTGGGCTTGGCACTGACTCATGTCCCTTGTCACCCCCATCTGCCCATTGTGCCCCCACATCTCCCACAGATCTCCGTAGGAGGTGTAAGGAGAATGACTGCAAACTGCCAGGTTATGAGCCATCCAGAGCTGAGCACATGCCTGGAGAGCCCACCGTGGACTCTGATGGCCCAGGGAGGCCTTACCTAGGGGATCAAGATGTGGCCTTTAGCTACAGACAGCAAACTGGCAAGGGGACCACCCTGTTCTCCTTCTCCTTGCAGCTCCCTGAGTCATTTCCCTCCCTCCTAGACGATGATGGGTACCTCTCTTTCCCCAACCTTTCTGAAACCAACCTCCTGCCCCAGAGCTTGCAGCATTACCTTCCGATCCGCTCACCGTCCCTCGTGCCCTGTTTCCTCTTCATCTTTTTCTTTCTGCTGTCTGCCTCCTTCTCAGTGCCATACGCTCTCACTCTCTCCTTCCCTCTGGCTCTGTGCCTCTGCTACCTGGAGCCCAAGGCGGCCTCCTTGAGCGCCTCCCTAGACAATGACCCGAGTGACAGTTCAGAGGAAGAGGTGTGTACCTCGGCATAGAACACGCCTCCCCTTCGTGTTCCGTGCTTCAGTCCGAAACAGTGTTAGCCGGCTGCTGACATAGTGGTCCTACTTTCAGAGCCTCATTTATTGTCTGTGCCAATATGTTGAGGTTTCTGTGTGTTGGGGAGTCCAACCTGGGTCCCAGGGTTAGGCACAACACCATGTGGATGTAGCAGTCTGAGCCCAACCTGGAATCGTTCTGCTACCCACTGAGTTCTACGTGGGATGAAAGACTCAGCCAGAAGTCAATTTCATATAACCGGTTAGCTGTGTAAAAGATCAGGGCTAAGCTAAAGGTTCTGATCAGTTATTGCTTAATAAAGTAAATCACATATAAGACAGATGAGTAGTTTTCAACTTAATGATAGTCAAGGAGAAGTGGAAGAGTGCATCCCCAGAGGGGATATATCATCATCACCTGGGTAGCTTTCTAAAATTGCAAAGGTATCTCCTCCCTGGAGATCCTAAAATGTACCCACCGCCCTCTGATCATCATTGCCAGATGGTAGATCCCGCATTGTGTTGGGTCAAGACAGTTTAAAGCACCAGACTGATGAGTCATTGGTGAGGGCAGCAACAGGCCCAGAAGCAACTGCATGCAGGGCAGCAGTGTACAGACACAATCAGAAAAAGACAAAACTGAAGTTTTCAAACATTATAAAAACAGGCTGAAATTTCACCAGTGCTAGCAATGTCAGTGCAAATAACATGACAGTGATTCTTTCAACTACAGCATGAGCCTCAAAATCCCCCCCATTTTCACAGTGTGGTGAGGCTGGGCCTCTGTGGCTGCCAGCCAGATATGGACATGGTAGGGGAAAGACCCTGAACCATCCGCCTCCATCCTTGAAGGCATGCTGCTGCAGGGCAGGCTCCTATCCCCCACTCGAGCAATTGGGCGAGTTAACATGGTAGCCAGGAGTTTTTCTCTGTTAATTGCTCTCCTTTCCCACCGTTCCACAGCCCTGTGAACAGCCCAGCAGTTTCTCTTTCTCCAGCCTTCAAATAGAGTGCAGGGAAGAATAATAGAAGCTGCCACCAGAGGCCCCGGCTGCTGTCATGCACGCCCCCTGCCCACCTCTCCCCAGGCTCCCTGCAGCCTTCCTGTTTCCACAGAACAAGAGCTGTTGTGTTAGGGGAAAAGCAAAACAGTCCTAGCATTTTTTCAAAAAGTCACAAAGTCAAGGCAATGCTAAAAAAGGAAAGAAAGTCTAATTCTGTGCTCAGCTAGAAGGTCATAATTTGAGCTGCACCTGTGAGTATATAGTGTTATATTTTGAGGGTGTGTGAGTATCTATATTTAGAATTATGACCATTTCTTTGCAGCAGAAGGGAAAAATGTGAATGGCCTCACAGGTGTTTTAAATAAAAGTCTACACGTTTAATAGATTTTGCATAAGAGTCATTTCCAAGGTTCTTGAGCTATATGTAACAATTTGTTCCAAATTATATATAAATAACTTTGTATACATGGAAAATATTTTGAGAACTACTTGACATCCTAGGTTTTAACATCACGATTTCTCATACTGACAATATTATCAAATAGCGTTGGACTAGAACACATTACAGTTAAGAACACACCATTGTCTACAAAGACTGCTTATCAGCTGATTTCCAACATGGAGATACAGTTTTCAGCAAGCTAACATAAAGCGAAAAAGATTGCTGTTTTATGCTTTTCTAAATTTGAAATAAAAGTTTGAACTTTTATATAGCAAACCACACAGATCTTGTGCCTAATCCAGGGTATACATCTTGTTGTAATCAGTGCATGAGAATTAATGTTAAACTTGGGCATGTCTGCATTACATCGGCAAAACAAATCACAGCAGTTAATTGTTACAAGCTAGCCAATGCGTGATTGGAGCTTCCCAGTCATAACTGTCCTTGTTATTGCAAACCTCTGAAACCATGAATTAGCACTCACCACGGGAATCTTCATCACCCTTCTCCGCAGCCCTAGTCAGTCTATATGATAGCTGATCTGCCATATATGATCTGCCACTAGACTCTGTTACTGGCCATCTGTTCAGTGTCGTCTCTTAACCCCAAGTGTTAAGAGCTGTGCATTCTAGTTGAGGCCAAGCTGGAGAACTCATATTTAGGTCATTCCAGTTTGTTTCCTTTTCTTTTGTTTAAATTGCCATTTGCTTACATGGCCTGATGTAATCTCTAGGCCTCAAGCGCTGTGGCAGCTACGCTGGGTAACTTTTTAACGTACAGTTCAGCCCTGTCACTTTTGTTTTGCCAAGTCACTAGTAATTAATTCTTTTTAAATATGGTATCATCATTGCTTACATTTTTTACGTGTTATAGTGGCTTATTTCCAGTCTCAAGAGTGAAATCCAGTGTAAAAAGGCTTCATCATTTCACATTATAAAGCTGTTGGCCAGTTATGTTTTTTCTTTTGTACTATCAGAATGGTCAGATAAGAAGAGATAGGATATCAAAATATCCTATCAAGAAACATGAGATGAGCTTACCTCCCCAAACCACAAAATGAAATTACATGTCTGTTTCTGAGTAATGTTTTTTGATAATACAAAGAAAAAGATGAATTCAAATCAACAGGGAGAAAAATTAATTAACTGAATTACAACATTTTAAATTATATAAACTATTATCTGATAGTTTATTATATGCTATACATTTGCAGTTTTATATAGTCATCATACATTATAGAAATGCCAGTTGCTATAAAACTGCTTTATTCAGCCTTACTCATTTATTGACTGTTGATCAGGCACTATGCTACTGACTGACTGACTAAATGCTAAGTAGGAATTCAAGAAGTTTTAGATTTGGACTATGCTATTTGTGTATGGCTAATAAAAGATGATAATTATGTAATTATTATAGGCATTTTTATTTTAGCTCTGTGTGTGTCAGGCATTGTATAAAGCACTTAGTATCTATTACCCAATACAGTTAGGGCTGTTATTTTTCCCATTTTATGGGAAGGAAACTGGGATTAAATTATAAAAAGTACCCGATATGCCACAAGTTTGAACAGTAAGGATTTGAGCTCATGTTCATCTGACATTAAACCTTCCCCTCTTAACAACCACTGTCCTTTAATGCTAAGATGCTTGCAAGTTACTGAAGTAAATTTTAAAACCATAAGGGAAATAAGCTAGATAGGAGGAGAAACACTTTCAACAATTTTAGAAGTGTTTGACACAACTAATTAGAATATCAGTGCAAGTCATTACAGCGGGTCACAGTGGCTTAACGCCTGTAATCCCAACACTTTGGGAGGCTGAGCCAGGCAGGTCACTTGAGGTGAGGAGTTTGAGACCAGCCTGGCCAGCATGGTGAAAACCTGTCTCTACTAAAGGTACAAAAATCAGCCAGGCATGGTGGCATGCACCTGTAGTCCCAGATACTAGGGAGACTGAAGCGCAAGATTTGCTTGAACCCAGGAGGATGCAGTGAGCCAGGATTGCACCACTGCACTCCAGCCTGGGTGACAGAGTAAGACCCTGTCTAAAAAACTAAAACACTAAGTGCAAGCCATTCTTATTTATTCTTGAAAGCCTATAATCTTTGAGTTATTCTGTATACCTGAACAAATAATCAGTCTATCTTACTAACTCATACTGGCCTTTCCCAGGGCTGTCACTCAGTACAGCCATACTAAATGCCATAGCAACAATCACCCTCATAAGAAAACAGCCACCTCCTGATCCCAGTTGTTAACCAGGCCAGTCAGGTCATGAAAATGTGTCAGCATGCTTTCCTTACCAACCTACAGAAAATTATTTTCCACTTAGACTTGGTAGCAAGGGTGCCAGAATGATGTCCTCAGGGACACGGGCTGAGCGTGTGTTGAGCCTCCTTTTCTTTTAGGAGTATACAGCATGAAACATGTGGCTAGTGCCAAGAAATCGGCATAGCCAGAGTTATGTCAATGGAAACAACACTGTCCCAGTTGTACGTTCTTGATATTCCTTCTTCTTTATAGTGGGAGGTTATTTTAAGAACCAGATTCACCATCATAGACTCCCCTCCCATTTTGATTTTTGTTTTCAAAATATTAATCACAAATATTTGATCAGGGAAACTTTATTAATGGTTAGTTGATATCTGTGGAGGGAAAATCAGATAATATTAAGGCATTTAGATGTCTCTGGCTCTACTCTACTCGAGAGAAAACAGTTTTCATTTGAAGTCATAAACCCCTGTGAAATAGATTAAAAACCAGTCCTGAAATTACTGTTCTCATTCTTCCCAAAACCTAGGCTCTGTCAAATGCTGTGCTTTGTTTTATTTGTTTCCAAGTAGATGTTTCTCTCTTTCTCTCTCTCTGTCTATTGTTTTAAAAATTCTTATTATTATTTGCTTCATTTGAATGGTATTTTTGGAGCAAGATGTTTCAATACATACTTAATATACTTCTTTATATTGGAGTGTGGGGCAAAATAAACTTAACATGTAGTCTTAAAAAATATCTAGTTAGCAATGCTACTTGAAAATCGAGTTACCTTTTTCCCATAAAAAACATATGCCTATGAGTCACTGACATGTGCCTTTTATAACTGACAGGTAATGCAGACAGCCTGTTGTCCTTAGATGGATATAAATTATCATAATGATATAAATGAGGGGCTGAAAGTCCAGTGACTGTTACAGTAGCTTTTACTGTAAATTGACATTTTCATTTACCTTTCAAACATGAAGTATTACTAGAATAGAATATATATAAGAATCAGTTTTATTTGCATTGAACATTTTAAGGAGATCTTGCTTGGGGTTTTTACTTAAACGTTGGAGCGGGGGTGTGGGGATGACAAATTGGTTTTCCTGAGACATAGAACCAGACAGGTCAGTGTGGCTCCCCAGCTCCTGTAGCTCCTGCAGGCTGGACCTGCCTCAGGTCTTCCTGTGAGTTGGCTCTGTGATGACACCTAGCTCTGGCCCTTCTGTTGCTTTGCTTGAACTTGTGTTCTTGTGGGAAGGTAGTATGACACAATCACAGAGAAAGAAAATGACCTGTCTGACCCATGCCAGACCATATTTGACCAGATGATTTACTTTCTGTCCCTGCCTTCCTCCCGGAACCTGATCACTTCTGTGGTCAATAGACTGACAGTGAGCGCACGGACACTGCAGCCGACGGGGAGACCACTGCTACTGAGGTTGGTATCATGGCTGAGAGTGGCTGGTAGTTGCCTACCGAAAATGCCTTGTGGGGTGGCTCTGTGTTTAAGAACTCCACATATGAGCTCTTGTAATGGAGATCAGTTCTACCTCTAACAGTAGGAGTTAAATATATATTTTGTTGTCTAGACCAGTGGTTCTTAAACTCTGGCCTATATCAGAATTACCTGGAGGATTCTAGCCACACGTTTCTCATTTAGAAAGGCTGGAGTGGACTTGAGAATTTATATTTCTAACAAGTTTCCAGGTGATATTGACTCTGCACGTCTTAGGAACATATTTGGAGAACGACTTGCCTAAACTGATAATACATTTTTTTAGGAAAAATTATCCCAAATGAGAAGCTATAGATGTATAATAGAATGAATGGAAAGAAGGTCACAATAATTTAACTAACATATTGGCTGGATGCAGATATATTTTTAATTCCCCAATGGTGAGATAATTCTTCTTAAAATAAGACTTACCTTACTCATTTTTGTAGCCTTTGGCTATAGCCTCGGTCACTCATAAGAAATGAATTTTTAAATTACTGTTAGTACTCTCTTGTTAAAAAATATAATCACATTAAACAACGATAGAAAAGATACTGTTATTTCTCCTTTATTAATTCTTTAGGGTAAAATGCATGTATGTGTGTCTGTGTGTGTGTGTGGCTTATATATTGTTTTTCAAATCTTCTCTCTGTGAGTAAGTAGTTAAAATTTCTGTAAAAACAATATCTGTACTAATGGAAGTCAAGATGTTTATTGCTGTTAATTTTGCTAGGTTTTACTAGCAAATTTTAGTTTTTACTTTGTAATAATATTTTAGGATTTTTTAATGTTATTTTTTGTATCCAATTATAATATTTTCTAGTTGGGTATTTAGAAAAAAACTAAAAATGTTGTAAATGGTATCTGTATATCACTTAATTGAAAATATCTTCAGAAAATGTATTTCATGATTTTACTTTTCTTTCTTAGAAATGCCAGAGTTCAGTCCAAAGCTGGAAAATCATAAGTTTTTAATATTAAAGTTAATATTATAAAATAATATTTTACAAAATATTGTAAAAAGAATTATCCAGATTCTTTTAAGAAATCGTATATAAATCTATTACAAGTAAGTAATTCTCTTTGCCAAATATAACAAAGCTACACCTTGATTTTGTAAGAGTTAGTTACATGTAACTACAGGGTATACACCCAGTAAATTTCACTGGAATCTTAATGTGTGCTATAAATGAAAAATATTTTAATAATAATACCTTAAACTTCTACAGTAGTTTGAAAATGTGTTATATAAAATTTAAAGCATGCGAGGGAATACCTGTAACATAGGTAGCTTATGAAACTTGAAAATTAAATGAAGAAATCGGGCATGATAGTTCATGCCTCTAATCCCAGTACTTTGGGAGGCCGAGGTGGGTGGATCATGAGGTCAGGAATTTGAGACCAGCCTGGCCAACATGGTGTAACCCTGTCTCTACTAAAGATACAAAAAACTAGCTGGGCATGGCAGTGCATGCCGAGTAATCCCAGCTACTTGGGAGGCTAAGGTGGAGAATCGCTGAACCTGGGAGGTGAAGGTTGCAGTGAGCCGAAATTGTGCCATTGCACTCCAGCCTGGGTGACAGAGTGAGACACTGCCTCAAAAAAATAAGTAAAATAAATTTTAAAAATAAAATGAAGAACTGTGAACCCCTCCATGCACTGAAGAATGAGCATGTCACCAGCATATAGGCACTGTGTTTAAAGTTTCCTGTATGCCCCATGATACTGACGAAACTCTTTCCCTTCTATAGGTGGCCAGCACAGCAGTGGTCAGGGTAGGACATGCAGAGTAAGCAATCTTGTCCCCATTGGCAAATGAGAAGAGGGAGACCTAGGTAGACTAAATGATTTTCTTAAGGCCTCTGACTTGGTGTGATCCGTTTCTCACCTACAATTTCATTTTGGGTCTCCTCTTGTAGCACAAGGGCATAAAGCCTCGGCCCTGAGTCCAAGAGCCATAATGAGTAACATAGCTTCACCACTGCATGCACGTGTGGCTTGGCCTGCTTACTAATTACTGATACACAGATACCAGTCCAGGGATTAAACCAGTCCTTGAAATCAGAAAAACCGGGAGAATGAAGTGGCTTTGGGATAACTATTTTTTCAAATCTCAAAAATTGTCTCGTCTAAAACCTTTTAAAGAAATCATGGTGTTGATAGTTGTTGATTTTTCTTTTTTAAAAAAAACTTTTTTACTTTCCCCATATTAGCCTTCTTTCCCTGAATTTGTTCTTAAGTATATACATTCGAGAAAATTGGCTGGATGAGGTGGCTCACTCCTGTAATCCCAGCACTTTGGGAGGCCAAAGGGGACAGATCACTTGAGGTCAGGAGTTCAAGACTAGTCTGGCGAACATGATGAAACCCCATCTGTACTAAAAATAAAAAAATTTTGCCGGGCCTGGTGGTGGGCACCTGTAATCCCAGCTATTTTGGAGGCCGAGGCAGGAGAATTGCTTGAACCCAGAAAGCAGAGGTTGCAGTGAGCCGAGATCACACCATTGCACTCCAGCCTGGATGACAGAGCGAGACTCCGTCTCAAAAAAAAAAAAAAGAAGGAAAATCAAGGTCTTAAGAAACTTTAAAATGTGGGAACCTCTGTGTGAAATTCTTTTTTTTTTTTAAGGACAGAGTCCTGTTCTGTCACCCATGCTGGAGTGCAGTGGCACAATCTCAGCTCGCCGCAGCCTCCACTTCCTGGGTTCTAGCAATCCCCCTGCCTCAGCTTCCTGAGTAGCTGGGACTACAGGCACACGTTGCTACGCCTGGCTAATTTTTTGTATTTTAGTAGAGATGGGTTTCACTGTGTGGCCCAGGCTAAGCATGGGTTCTCTGGTCTACAAATTGGGAATCCTAATCACTAACCCCATAGGGCAAGATTCATACACTACACAGGAGCTCTCATTATTGTGTCATCATAGCTATTCTTACAATTTTTAATTTTAATTTTAATCTGGCTCCCCCAACTTCCTGAACTATTTCTAATGTTCATCAAGAACAACCTGCTACACCCTTGCTATCACCTTCTCAACCACATGTGTCTGCTGGTCAAAATGCCAAAGACCCACCGGGCAAGAACTCTTCACTCCTGTATTCTTATTAAGCTCCTAATTGTGTGTGAGAATGTTGTGGTTTATGTATAAGAAAGAAGTGGCATCCATATGCAAGAGCATACGAGTGCCAACATTTAGCAAGTCTATATAGACCATAGTTCTTCAATCTTAGAGTAAATTGCATGTAAGACTTTATTTCCCACTCTTTCTTGATGCTGGCAGTCGGACCAGGAGGAAGATGCAGAGCTCAAGGCACAGGTAGAAAATTAAAAATAAAACAAAAACAAAAAAAACCAGTGTGTGATAAGTCATTGTTTGTCTACAGCGTTCAGACCTTTCAGCATGCTCTGTAGCCGGTTACCGTGTTATTGGTGCATTGTGTAGGTTGGCATTTGTTCCCTTGACAACTGTGTCCCTTACTTTTCCCTTTCTTCTCCACTTTTTTCAGAATAGTCTGATTAAACGAATAAAGGGTGAAAATGTGTATGTCAAACATAGTAATCTTATGTTAGAGGTTGGTATTGGTACATACCAGTGCATGTTCGTGTGTGTTGTTTTTCTTTTGGTGGAATACCTGTGGGCTTGTACTGTGATGCATGAACCGTGTGCTCACCTGTTAATAAGTGGGAATGACTTCTCGGCCTCTGATTCCTTGTTCTCTCCTAGATATAGATCCCTTTTCCTGTGTGTATATTTATTTTAATTCTCTCAGGTTACATGTGAATTGTACTCTTTACAGTTTACCTTCTAAAATTCTTTTGGTATTCATGTTTGTGTGAACTAGATTTTTTTTTCTCTTTCCTTTCCATGGGAAAATCACATTTTCACCAGAGTGTTTGTGGTAGTGCCATGAGCCTTGATCAAAATGTATTTTATTTTGACTACTAATAAAATTAACATTATTTTAAAAAACAGAGCTGAAAGGAACACAAATGTAAAATGTTGACTGTTGGATACTTTATGTTCTGAATATAGGAGCTAGAAAAAACTCAAGATGACCTGATGAAACATCAAACCAACATTAGCGAGCTGAAAAGAACCTTCTTAGAAACCTCGACAGACACTGCCATCACGAATGAATGGGAGAAGAGGCTTTCCACCTCCCCCGTGCGACTGGCCGCCAGGCAGGAGGATGCCCCCATGATCGAACCACTTGTTCCTGAAGAGGTCAGTAGTCAGGCTTGTGGTCGGACTCACCTTCTATTCACTAGCCTCCCTTCTCTCCAGGGTGTGGAATTGCATTTGACAAACTTCTGAGTAGAAAATCTCTCTTCTTATCTATGTTTAACCTGAACTGAGATGCTCAGTGCTCCAAAGGAAAACTGCAAAATGAAATGATTATAGTGGCTGAGGAGTGAATAATAACATCAGATGGTTCTTAGGGCAGAAAGCCACTGGGAGACCACAGTAAAAATCAGCTGATTCTGACCATAAACCTAGATTTTATAGCTGAGGTAAATCAAGGTATCCTCTTCATGAACTGACACTTTTTCTACATACGCTTTCTTCTTTTGCATTTAAAAACACTCTGCAGACTTGCTCTCAATTGCAAGATGAGGCCTGTTGAGATTGTTTGATTAAATGGTAACAAAGTTGATAGCATTTCAGGACAATTTTACTCTGAGATATTATACACCAGGCTTTTATTGATATAATGAGTATTTGATTTTTATTTATAACTGATTTTAACTGATTTATAATAAGTTTTTTCTTTTTGTTTTCGAGATGCAGTCTTGCTCTTTTGCCCAGGCTGAAGTGCAGTGGGGTGATCTTGTCTCACTGCAGCCTCTGCCTGCCAGATTCAAGTGATTCTCCTGCCATGGCCTCCCAAGTAGCTGAGACTACAGGCACCCACCACCACACTGGCCAATTTTTGTATTTTTAATAGAGACGGTATTTCACCATGTTGGCCAGGCTGGTACCAAACTCCAGACCTTAAGTGATCCACCTGCCTCAGCCTCTCAAAGTGCTGGGATTACAGGCATGAGCCATCACACCTGGCCAAATTTATTAAAAAAATTTTAGTAGGTGTTTTATGGGGGGAAAGTAGTGGCCAGAAATTTTTTTTAGGTAAGGTTATTTCACACTCTTTGGCTATACATTTAAAGAGATCTTTTTGTTTTTTTGAGACAGAGTGTTTTGTTTTGTTTTGAGACAGAGTCTTACTCTGTCGCCCAGGCTGGAGCATAGTGGTGTGATCTCAGCTCACTACAACCTCTGCCTCCCAGGTTTAAGCAATTCTCCTGCCTTAGCCTCCTGAGTATTTGGAACTACAGGCATGTGCCACCATGCCCAACTAGTGTTTTTTTGTATTTTTAATAGAGGCAAGATTTCAACATGTTGGTGAGGTTGGTCTCAAACTCCTGACCTCAAATGATCTGCCTGCCTTGGCCTCCCAAGGAAGCTCTTTTATATGTACAGCCAGAGAGTATGAGGATTCAGCTGGTGTTACTTCAGAGCTCCCATTATGTGGGAACCAAATATTACTGTAGTGCTAATTTAACTACCTATTGTTAGACATCATGCTGCTTTATCTCTGTTTCAAAAGAAGTAGTTTTTGAAAACTGCATCTTTTTTAGCATTATATTGATTAACCTCCTTTTCTGTAACACTCCTTTATTGGGAAATATTTGCTCAGGAAGCTGGCACAGAATAGAACATTAAAACTTAGGCTTTGGTAGAAAAAAATTCTTTAAACAGTAGTCTGCATGCAGTGCTTAAGTCCTTGCAGTAAAAAGAATAATTGAATTGCAGTTGTGTTGATCAAGTTCTAAACCTCCTTTGAAAGCTATTTATCAAAAGTAACCAAGAACTCATTATCACTATGTTCATGACAATTCCAAACCTAGCTAAAAAGGGAATAGGTCTATATCCATTTGAATTACTTTAAAAAGAACACTTTTTATGCAGAATAAATGAAAAGTACAATTACCAGCATATTCTTGTACCATTAAACTCCAATTCCATTCCAACTACTGAGTTTCAAGAGATAAATTTCACATTCAGATTGATTTAAATGTAATAGTCCTTACAATATTAAGTTATGCTCTCATAAATTTAATTGTAATTGGTTAAGTTTGGCTTACCCTATTTCTACTAACTCTTTTGGAAATAATTTACTGGCTCTAAAGATATCAGATACTGGATTAAGTTACAAAAACACAAACCACATAGCCATCCCAAACAAAACAAAGCAAAGCCTCTCTCCTCATGATGTTATTTCAGAAAATGCTAAATAGTAGCCACTTTGAATGAAAGTTTAGGGAACAACTTACAGAATTTAAAGGGTGGTGCTAATAAACAAGGGAACTTCATGAGTCTAGGCCATTAGACTAGTAAAATAATTTGTTTTACATCTATTAAATTCTAGATATTAGACAATTAACATTTGATAAGCCCCAAAGACATTAATAATTTATGGAGTATTTTGAATACACTGAACTTTCCCTAGATATTAATGCTTTTTCTGTGTTAGTGCAGAAAAACTGGAGAAGGCTAAGAAAGGCTTTTCTTTCAACATAATTAAGGAAGAAAAACATACCCTCTGCAGAATGGCAAAGCAGCGTGGTTATTTAAACTGGGGAAGACCACAGGCTGGCATACTCACTGCTTTCAGCCTCTGCAGGGTTGTTTTGCAGTCCTGCAGTGCTCCATTACCACCGTGAACGGAAGACACAGCAGAAAGAGCTTGACTAGATATAAAGAACTTGTTAGAAACAGGGCTGATTAACCCTGCTTATCAAAGGAGCCCTGAAAAGCATCTTGAAGGAGCTTCAAGTCCCAGAGGAAAAGAGCTGTCTTTAGGCAGTCAGTGTGCTATGGCAGCAGGGCCAGGCAGAGTGGCCTCTTCCCGCTTCTTCTCTTCTCCAGGACCTCATAGTCATCGAGGACATTAAGTTTATACTCCAACTGAGGGCCCTGTAGATAGCCTTCAGAACAAACCAGAAAGCTCTTGTGCTCTAAATTATTGCCAATTTCTGTGTTAAAACCATGGCTTCTGTTACTTTTACATGTGAAAAGCACAAAAGATAATTTTATCCTTTTTATAATCCTTTGTATGTTATGTACATAAAACACATACTGGTTTTTAAATATATAACCAAAAGCTTTTTATTTTAGAGGGGATATTTTTTAAAGTAGCTTCTACTAGTTTGATATCACTTTATTTTGTAATAAAATCCACTCTAAACAGTAAACTGGTTTAGAAAGAAATCCAGTTACTTGTAAATGGAAATATTTAACTTAATTTTTAAAATTGACAATTCTAATAAAGTAATGGTTATTTGTGTCACAATCAGAAAGAAACTTCAATTTGGTGTCCCCAAACTTAGAACTTCCCAAAGCTTAGTTGGTTTTGTTTTTGTTTTTGTTTGTCTCAGTGACAAAATGGTACACTGAAGAAAAAACCTGAAGATCTTTTGAGTCTTAATGTGACCATCTTTTTTCTTTATTTTGTTGTATCTATAGTAGTTGAATTGTTATAATAATTATTTCTATAAAATGCTACCAGTTTATGAACAATTAGAAGAAAATTATAGTTAGAATTATATTCAGTGAGCTAATAATGATGATTATGTTCTGAGAATTTTATATTTGTTTCCTGCATAAAATGGAAATTTGATTGCTAATTGTTTCAAGTTTCAGATATTTGAGTTAATAGCAGACAAGTAGCAAGGATGCCCCAAAGCAGCAAACAATATCTAATTCTCATTTACTTTAGAAAATAGGCAAATACACCCACACCCAGGGCCCACCAAACATAGGGAGGGTAGGCATGTGGTTTGTGCAGCGTGCCCAAGTACATCTTCTGTCCATAAACCTTTCCCATGACAGCCTTTCGTGATGCATCTAAGCCTTGTCCATGTTAGAAATATATCCTTAGTGGTTACTTGCATACCAAAATTTTCCAAATCATAATTTAAAAATAGTACCTACTAGTATGTATGCTGCGCCAATATTGTTCTCTCTTTCATGTGAGTGGTAGTGTTACAGGCATGTTCACTGTACAGTAATTCCTTGAGCTAGACGATTAGTCCGTTTCCATAATTCCCAAACATTCATTTGCAAATTTGATTCCCTAAAATTTATTTGTAGAAATCTTTAATCACCCAACAGTAAATAACACTGTTATGAATTTTCTGTGCCAGTATAGGGCCTTGTTTTCCAATTATGATATTGAGATTAATTACTTATAATGTTGAAGTCACTAAATGAAATGGTTGGGCTATATACCTGACTGTATCCTAACCCCTAATAAAGTGAGTTTCTTTCTCGGTGCCTCTTCACTTCTCTATTAACTAGACTGACTATATGGGGAGGTTGACCATATATAGAATTAAATTCTAAAACCTACTCCCTATGTTACCTGTTTATGTTATTGGACATACACAGTTTAGAATGTAGACACTTAATATTTTCAGTTAGAAGACATAGGCAATTTTTAAATTAGTTGGTTTCAGACAACAGGATATGCTGAGTACCAGCTTTGCTGGGTTTTTGTAAAGCTTTTATCTTAGGAATAATATTTAGTTCAGTGATTGTAATTAGAGACCTAGCAGTGGTATTCTGAAAAGTGCCTATAATTTTGACCTTTCCTTTCTGTTTCTCATTTCTGTTTGTAAAGGAGGCTATGATTATAAGCAAAAAAAAAAAAAAAAAAAAAAAAAAAGAAAAAAGAAACAAAAATCATTACACATAGTACATTTTATCTTTTCTAATACCATCCTCCAAAATGCAGCAGGACAGAGGGTTGCTTTTTTTTTTCTTTTCTGAAAATGGCTTACTTGTTTCTCATTAGAAAGAGTCATTTGAGAATGATACTATCAAAATCTGTCAGTAGGTCCTACAGAATATTCCAGATGTTCCCCTACAACGTCATGCAAACAAATGATTAAATGTAGTACTGGTAGATTTTTAGACAAAAATAAATTTTAAATAGCTCTCATAAAATTACATTGTTTGTAATGATAAAACATATTTTAAAAGTTCCATTCTTCTAGAAACTTTGAACTTGCCATCGTTATTTTTTAAGTTAATCTTTCTATCCCTGCTCTGTGGAGTTGAGCACCATGCACATAGGCTTGATAGCTCATGTATTGCCACCTAAATTGTGCCTATTTAATACTAAAGAAAAAAAAATAGTTAAAAAGTAAAAACCTAGTTCCTAACATGAAATATTATTTCTTATTTTTTTATCTTAAAGAATGAATTGATATACTTAATTTTCCACCAAGATATTTTGAAATTGACTTTTAAAAATTATTAACCATGTTACAGAAGTTCAAATAAAACTATACCCTTGAGTATTTTTTTGTTTATTTGTGGGATAATAAATCAATCCATCTAAGTATAACTGGGTTTATTTAAATTAGTGACTAATGCAGTGACATTGTGTACATTTCATTACTCAGTAACAAGCAGCACCTAAATGGGGAATACAATAAAATACTTGTCAGAAATAGAAGTCAGGCTTTATTCCTAACTTAAATTTTTAAAAATTTCTTAATGTTTTATTTTAAACACCCACTTTTTAAAGCAAACATAAACACTGTTTAAATGCCAAGAACAAATGCCTGTATATTGCTCTTGCATGTTCTGTGTTTGTAGAAATGAAGCACATTTAAGTTATATAAACCCCAAAGTTTCAGAAAATCTGAACTCTTTGGAAAAAACTGAATTTTGAGATAGTTTCAGATCATTTTTCAAATGCATAAACAATAATTTACTCCTTCAGGAAAAAACGAAAGAATATTATGAGAATATATGAGATAGATATAATACAATGAAAGAACTCTCTTCCTAACTTGCCTTTTTGGAAACTGTCTACTTCCTCTTCTCCAACCCAACCCCCTTTATTCAAACAGACCAAAGAAGAAAGAGAGATTTCTGAAAAAATTATATTTTTGCAGCAAGGAAGCTCTCCATTCTTTGAGTCTCAGGTAAAAAACAGATATAAAGAATTTTCCAAAAGGAATTGCTCTTCAGACTTCAGTGTCATTAAAATGTTTTTAGTTTTTATTTTCCCTTTTAAATGTATTTTGTTTAAAACCAAAGTAGGTACATAATTTTGATTTAGATTCTGGGGAAGGGAAATTGGAATTCTCTTAATATTTTAGTTATCAGTTATGCATCATTTCTTTATGGCTTCTAATCCAAGCTGATTTTTCTCTGTATGTTGTCATTGACTTACTTTCTAATAATAATCTTGCTGAAATGTTGTTTTACTGCCTGTTTTTACCTGTAGACTGGTGCTAATTTAGATCATGTTGATTGATTTTGAAAGTTCTGAATTCTCATTGGTTTCCCCACTAGCCAAGTGTGATAAAGAAAATGCAGGAAGGAGATTCTGCTGACTCTGTGATTACTTCTCGTCAAATAATTTTCCAGAAAACTGTCCCATCGACCCTAGAGGTTATTCTTTTAATTCATTTCACCTCCTCTAGCAGCAGCATGTAGATGGATCTGTAGTAATTTTTTTAAGGCACGCATATTTCTAGATTTAAATTTTCAGGCTGCAATAAACACAAATGTTTCTAGAAAACATGCCAGTTTAAAATGTAAACCAAGGCACTCACCTGCTCCTAGTTCGATATCTCTTCCCTCTGTAATCTGTGAAGCTATTAACCTATCCGGTCACATTATATTATGCGTTCCTGAATACAAAAGTTTCTTAGCTTTCATTTCTTTAGTTTTGTTGGAACTAACACTAAAGAAAGTGGGAGAGAAACTCCTGAGACAATAAACTTCAGTTGTAGATAAGATTGGAGCCAGGCACAATGGCATGTGCCTGTAGTCTCAGCTCCTGGGGAGGCTGAGATGGGAGGATTGCTTTAACCCAGTTCAAGGCTGACCTGGGCAACATAGGGAAAACCCATTTCTTTAAAAAAAATGTAAGACTCGAACAATATACAGATCACTATTTATAAGGGGCTCTAATAGTGTCCCATTAGTGGGAAATAATTCGGTATAATGCCTTGAACACAGTCACACTCAATATTTATTGAATGATAAGTGCTATCATGGATTCAATTCCCTGTATCAGGAAATACAGTTTACAAATAAAGAAAATGATATTGATATAAATTTGTAGAATGTTGGGAAGTTCTTTATGAGAACAACAGTATATGAAGTATAGATTATATTTAACGAGGAAAACTTTTTATGACCACACATGTAAAGCTAAGTAACTTGTAGAACAACTTCAATAATGTTATTTAATCTTGAAATATAAAATGATCCAAAGTTTATCATAAGAGCAAATCTGTTCTTCAAAAACTTTACTGCAAAGTATGTTCCAGTTTAAAGAAGTCACAACTCTGCCTACAGAATATATTCTGAGCTGAAGTTTATAGTTTATCATTTCAGAGGAGAAGAGATTGCAGCCAAAATTATTAGATAATAACATAAGCCCTGGACAGTCCCATCACAGACCCGCATGTAGCAGTTGCCCTGATTTTTTTAAAGGATTCTTATTTTAGTAATGACATACCATCAGAATTTCTAATTTAGCTTTTATATTTCAAACATAGGGCACAGAGGATTGGGTTATTGTAGACAAAATACCCACTGAGGTAGTTGATGGTGATTCGAAAAAGATTGTGACTTACAAGGTGGTGACCGTGAGCAGTAGAACCGGTGACCTCGCACCCGACATGTTAAAATCTGGCACTATTAAAATGCATAGCTTCGAAGACTTGGCTCGAGAAATGCAACTGAAAGAAGACAGCAAGCAGAAAATATACACTCTAGGAAAATCCTATGACACTGTCTCCGGGAGAATTGTTACTATGACTGAGAAAGCTAGAGAGGGTGAGAAAGTGGGACAGCCCTCCACTGTGGAAGCCCTTCAGAAAATAGAGAAAGGAGTGTCAGAGTCCGTGAAGACCACTCCCGGACTGGCAGAGTATGAGGTCCTGGAAGCCCTCGCTGATGAGAGATCCAAGAGAGGACCCGAGGTCCAGACCACAAAGCGGAAATTGTCCGAATCCCTGGCGCCCATCAAGGAGGCCGAGTCTCGCCGGCAGAGTCCAGAAGACGACGACCTCAAGAAGGCTCCACAGCTGGGGAAGGACATGACCGTCCCCGCTGGCCTGGAAGGCAGACGCTTCAGCAAAACAGAGCAAGTGCCAGAGAGTGAGGTCTTAAAAGTGGGCCCCTTTGGCCCCCGAAGGAAGAGCCTGTCCGAATGGAGATATTCCCAGGAACCGACCTTTACCGTGGCTACTGCCCATTACGTTACTGAGTCGTCCGCCTCCCGAGTAGTGGTAACCAGTGTCGCTCATTGGGGCCACAGTTTGCAATTCCAGCATGACAGTTTTTGAGGCAGTCCCCTTCCACCCCAAACCTTTTCGTTTCTCTTGCTGCTTGGCTTTATGTTGAGAGCAGCCAACCCAGCTTTTTTATTTTTTTCATGGTTAAATCAATACCGCAGTGCAGAGTCAGCATTTAAACACTTTCCATTTAATTTCCAGCTCCCCGTTCCCAAGATGTGATAGTGCTGCTGTGGCTTGCAATGAAGGGGGAAAAATACCTGCTTAAATCGGCGCCATCCTGATCCTAATAACTCTCTCTGCTTTACCAAACAAGAGCTCCTGGTCACCCCAATTTTCTATTTTATTTCCCATTCTTTTCTGTTTCCAAACTCTGTATCAGATTCCTTCATTCCTCCTCCCCCGTCTCCTCTGCCTACAATTTTGTCTAACAAGCCGTGAATGTGTATGTGCCTAAGTTTGTGTCTCTCTTTTGTGCTTGACTCTGCCTTTCTTTGTTCACTCAGACTAAGCAGTCTTCTGGGGAAAAGCTCATGGATGGCTCTGAAATCTTCAGTTTGTTAGAGTCTGCGCGAAAACCAACAGAATTCATAGGAGGGGTTACTTCTCAAACCTGGGTTCAGGTGGCCATTTGTTTTCGTCCTTGGTGTTTCTGAATGTACCCATTTGCCTTTCCTTACTCTTTTTGGGGCGTGAGTGTGTGTGTTGCATCCAGCTGGCTTTGCCTTCAGTGTCTCAAAGTGTCACTCAATTATCCTTTATACTGGCTTGGCATATCTGTCATATGCCTTAAGTTGCACCTCAAGAATGTACTTCAGATATTCATAAGGCAAACATGTTGAGAAATTTTAATGGCATTTAATTTCTAAAAGCATTATATCTCACCACTTGAGTTTAAGAAAGCAGCCCAAACCAATGTGAATGTGCTGCAATGCTTTGGTTTTTGTTTTGTTAATTGCACTTTATCCTGCCTTCTGTTTGTTTTGCGGATGTCCTGAAGCAGCAGCACAGGTTCAAGTGCATGCACCAGGGGCAGGGACAGGGGCAGGCATCAGAGATTCCAATGGGAGGAATGAAAGCTAATTTATATTTCCTGTCAGTGTTTCTGGTTATAAGCTCTTGATGCTGGCTTTAGGCGTCCTAGCAAGTGGCAGCTTTAGTTACTTTCTGACCTTTGGTTGATGGAAGGTCACACTGATGCCACAATCTCTTCCCATGCAGAAAATGGAAACCAAGACGGAATCCAGTGGAATCGAGACGGAACCCGCCTCACACCACCGACCGCTTAGCACTGAGAAGGTGGTGCAGGAGACTGTGCTGGTGGAGGAGAGGCGTGTGATGCACGCAAGTGGGGATGCTTCTTACACAGCAGGAGACGGTGCGGATGCCGTAGCACCGCCCACATTCACGGGGGCTTCTAGTGTTAAAGGGAAGGAGGGCTCTGCCTTGACGGAGGGGGCTAAAGAGGAACCAGGGGAGGAGGTCGCTAAAGCTGTGCTGGAGCAGCAAGAGACAGCTGCTGCTTCCCATGAGTCACAAGAGGAGCAAAGTGCAGCCATCCACGTTTCAGAAACTTTGGAACAAAAGCCTCATTTTGAGGTAACTAGTGGTTAATGTTGCTTTTATCACTAAAATAAAACTGATATAGGATACCTGGAAATTTAGATCAGCATAATGGTGAAGCTAAGTTTAATTTTCTGTGAGTTTTTCCTCTTCCTTCCTTCTACCTATTAGGGGCCTGCATACTGGTTTCCAGCTTTAGGGTCACATACAAACATATCTCTTAATTATTAATGATATAGCACTAGGAAATGGTTTCTACTCTCACTGAAATTATTATAATTGGCAGTAAAGTTGAGAAATGCAAAGTTGGCCAAGATATTAGAAAACGTGATAAATTTATTTCTGATGAGTATACTTTTCCAGAAGCACCAAAACCATGCTTGGCCAGGTCCTAAATGCCAGAGTACTCTTATCTTCTCTTTTATTGAGATTCCTGAAGTATTTGGGAAGTTAATGTCTCATTATTAATTCTTCTTTCTAAGAAGTTATTAAATAGAAGACTTACTTTTTTTTCTTATTGCCTTCAAAATGTTTTTCTTTACCTGGAGAATCTCATATAAAAATGTTATGAGATCCCAGGAGACTGACATGTACGTGTTGTATGCCTCGTTCCCCTGCTTACTCCCCACATAAACATTAATTGCATGCTAACCTGTGCTTATAACCACCAAAGAGGAAAGAGAAGAAAATAGTCTGTGCAAACTATAATAGCCACTCTGCTTACTTCCCTTTGGCACAGTCCTCAATGGTGAAGACGGAAACCATCAGTTTTGGCAGTGTTTCACCAGGAGGAGTAAAGCTAGAAATTTCTACCAAGGAAGTGCCAGTAGTTCACACTGAAACCAAAACCATCACATATGAATCATCACAGGTGAGATGTTCTGTGAGGACCAGAGCCCTGGCTCCTCATTTCACCCCTCTTATGGCTTATCGTGTTTACATAGAACTGCACAATATTTAATTCGTGAGACTTAGAGGATCCAGCAGCCAGACCACCTCTATTAAAAGTGAGGCAATAATGGTCATTTTATTACTTATCAGGGAGCAGCAGGTGACTTAACCAAGTCTTTATGTGTCTCGAAGTGTAGAAAAAGGCTCAGAAACCTGTTTCCCTAACCTCGGAGAAAGAAAAGTGTTCACTCAGCCATCCAGCCCTCACATTTCTAAAATCTTAGTTTTTTTTTAATGACAGTTATCTCTGGTTGCACTTAGTTCTTATGTTCTTATTGTTGGGAGCAGCTCTCAGACTCTGAAGAGCACAATGATTGTGTAATGGGAGATAAAGAAATTGTCATAATGCCTTAAGTAGCATAACCAACTTCTGTAGAGCCAATGTGAGCACCTGGATGAGGGGTCTATTCCTCTGCTGCTTTAGGTCGATCCTGGCACAGATCTGGAGCCGGGCGTGCTGATGAGCGCACAGACGATCACATCTGAAACCACCAGTACCACCACCACTACGCACATCACCAAAGTAAGTGGAGTGAGAACCAGGAAGAGGATTCCTTGAGAGCAAGCTGGAGGAAGGTGCTTGTTCAGAACTCACAGGTTGGGCCACCCAAGCACAAAGTGGCTTGCCAGTTAGGATGCCAGGACAACTGCAAGGAGAGTTTTTACAACTCCTAGACTTACGATGCCCTTGTCCTCATGTGTGAGTTCCTTTTTAGGAAGATACATTCTGATATCCTAAACTTAATGCTTACCCCAGCACTTGGCATGCGGTAGGTGTTCCGAAACACAGGCAATTCAGACCAAAGGCCTCCACTCTATCCTCACCTCTGGAATTAAAAACGTTAAATAACTGCCATAGCACTCTAATTTCAGTTCTCAAAGAATGAATGATGTTACTTAATGCCCTGTCAGCATCTCCTGCCATTTCCTCCACTGAAGAATGATGATTTCTCCCAGTGAGTAAATTCATAAAGCTTCTCTTTGTGTCTTGCAGACTGTCAAAGGGGGCATTTCAGAGACAAGAATTGAGAAGCGAATAGTCATCACGGGAGATGCAGACATTGACCATGACCAGGTAGTATGTGTGAGACGGTAAATACCCTGGCAGAGAAACAAAGAAAAACCTGTTGGCCCTACAGTTTCAATGCTATTCCTCTAGTCCGGCATGTATTCTGAAAAAAATTCTGAATTAACTTTCCAATATATGATTTTCCTTTTGTAATCATTGTACCTCATTTGTAAATTGTGGATATAGATCTAGCTCATAAGTCTCCACCTCGCCACTGATCATGCATGTTCCACCTCCTTTTTGTTTTTGCCCTTCTGTGATTTCCTGGGGATAGGCGCTGGCTCAGGCAATTAAAGAGGCCAAAGAGCAGCACCCTGACATGTCAGTGACCAAAGTAGTGGTCCATAAAGAGACAGAGATCACACCAGAAGATGGAGAGGATTGACCAGAGGTAAGAGGTGATGCTGATTCTCTAGGCTTGCCTAGGCTGGCATGAGGCATGGGGCACTTCCCTCTCATCCTTCACCTGATCCTTCCTTTCCTCTGTTCTCTCACTGGCATTTGTTGGGCTGGTTACCAAGAGGATGGAGAATTGGTTTACGGGTTTGTCTCACATTTGGAGCTTCCCTTCTTGTGGAGTTTTTGCATGTACTGCCAGTCAGAGGATAAAGGAAGAGCAGAGGCTATGCTTGTGTGGTCTTCCTGGTGTTCGCTTTTATTCCAGGCCCTGCGCTCTTTTCATTATCCAAATTTGTAATGTTAAATTTGATTTTACTTGCCATGTGGCATAATTGGAACTAAGGCAGTGTTGCTCCGAGAGGCTCAATTTGTGTGCTCCAAATACCAGGAAAATAATATATACCCCTTTCTCCTTCTGATGGCAACAGTATCCCATTGTAAGCTTCCTCCTCAACTACGTTTGATTACAGCCTGTTTATGCTTTGGTCTTTGATTTTGTTTTTTTAATTTGAAAGCTGAGCACTCACTTTCTTTTTGGATGTCTTATATTTCCTGTATTCTTTGGGATGATTTTTCTCCCTAGTATAGCGCTGTCTCAGGAGGAGGCAAAAAATGCAATCTTGTGGTCCTTTAGAAAGCACATGCCTTTCCAGTGGCTGTTTGGCCAGCATCGTAAGCAGATTGTATCATCTATGTGTGCACAGACTTGTCATGCATACTAACCTGCCATGCAAGAACTCATGGGGCTGTGAGCGTTTCTGAGAGGGCTTTGAATGCTGAATGCAGCAGTCAAGCGACTTGCACAACTTGGTGATGTGATAAAACATTTAGGAGATTTAATATATTAGTAAGTTCTCTAACATTGGTTTAAGAAACATAAATTGGGGCCGGGCGCGGTGGCTCACGCCTGTAATCCCAGCACTTTGGGAGGCCGAGGCGGGTGGATCACAAGGTCAAGAGATCGAGACCACCCTGGTCAACATGGTGAAACCCCGTCTCTACTAAAAATACAAAAAATTAGCTGGGCATGGTGGCGCGTGCCTGTAATCCCAGCTACTCAGGAGGCTGAGGCAGGAAAATTGCCTGAACCCAGGAGGCGGAGGCTGCGGTGAGCCGAGATCGCGCCATTGCACACCAGCCTGGGTAACAAGAGCGAAACTCTGTCTCAAAAAAAAAAAAAAAAAGAAACATAAATTGTTGAGTGGCATCTCTTAAAAGAGAAATATAAAAACCATCCATTTTACTCAAATGAATAGTATATTTTGGAAGATGGCAAAAAAAAAAAAAAATTCTTCCATGAGCTTCAGCCACTTGGGCGTTATCGTAATTACTTGAGAGAAAGTGTATAATTGACAGTGACTTAACACTGGAATGTCATGGCCTCTTGTCCAAATGAGCATTCTATCCTCTAAGATACTTTTTTTGTGTCGTTGATCTGAGAAAATCTTTCAGTTGTTTTCAAATGAGTAACTAATCAAATCTCTTTTCTGCAGGAATAACTTAGCTTGCACATGAATGCAGTCATGCAAACCATTAGGAAAACCAGAGCCTATATGGACTTCCCTCTTCTAACCCAACTGACTTGTATCTGTCCGTGGAAAATTTCAGTCCAGAAGAATTGACCTTGACCATTAATAAAGACACTGGCAGAGAGATCCTCCCATAATAAAGCAATCTGATTCAGCATCACTAAACTGATAATGCATGAAGCAACAATAAAATTACAAATAGCAGCATTTTTAATTTTCACAAAATGTCTCAGTTTTCAGCTATACCTGCACGTTCATAACCAACAATATAAACCGTGATCTCATGTAACACATAAGCAGTTCATGCCTTTCATAGTTTATTATTATTAAAGTCTGAACAAAATTGCAATTTCTTAGGTAACAAACCTTTTGTTTACAGTTAAACGAAGATTACCCTCAAATACTAGAAGCTGTCTAGGTCCATCTGATGTGTCAGATTTTTCCCAGATTAGATGTGCCAATAACCAAGTTTATTCAGTAAACAACTTATACTTGTTTCATCTGGTTTTATTACTCTCACCCATAAACAGTAATGACTCTCTGACCCTCTGGAAATATTTAACGCTTACAATCTTGCTTTGTGTATCTCATTTAATTTGTTATAAGGTAGTACTGATTTTAGCATATTAATGTGATTTCTTCCTCATTGTTTTGGTCTGTGTTCAATCCAGAGAGCTTTTCAGAGTTCCCTAACCAGTCCTAAGTATGTAAATTGTCATTATTTTGGGAAGAAAAACCTGTATTTTTGTTAGTTTACAATATTATGAAATTTCACTTCAGGAGAACCTGTTGGGCTTCCTGTGGCTTTGTTTTCTTGGTTTCTTTTTCTGTGTATTTTTTAATTGATTTTTCTTCTTTTACTTGACAAGAGTGTTTTATTTTCAAATCTGGTCCATATTTACATTCTAGTTCAGAGCCAAGCCTTAAACTGTACAGAATTTTCACTGTAATTAAAACTATTTAGTGTTATATATAGTCTTCAAAAAGAGAGATTCTCCATTACACAGTCACCTGCATCACAGCCCATGGTGAATGTATGTTTCTGCATAGCAAAATAAAAATAGCAAATGCACTGAAAGCTTTAGGTTTCTATGTTTAATAATTTCAGGATTGTATGTGTTGAGTCCAGAGGTAATATTTGCATAACATCAAAGGCCTTATTCATCTACACTGTAGAGCTATCCTGCCTTTACAAGATTAAAAAAACCACACACACAGTATAAGTATGCAGTGTCTGTACCCTTTGAGGGATTGAAGATGGGAACAAAATACATATACTTAAATATTTGGTTGCCTAAGAAAGGTTTAAAAAATACATCATTGAATTTCATCCTGAAAGTTTTAGGTTGTTTTTTTTTTTTAAATAAGAAACAAGACTCTGCTATAAAACAGGGTTGCTCAGCCTACAACCTCATGACCCATTTTAACAATCACTGTCACTGTCACCCATTTCTTTCATTATATCCACCTCTTCCCAGCACATCTATTACTCTATTAAGTCAGCGTCAACCCTAGCTGTTTTAAAAAATCAACATAGAGTCTGGAATGTGAATTTGAAATTGCATCTAACTTACAAATGAGTGTTACACATTCCTTCCATTAAGTGCTTTTTATTTTTTTTAATCTTTGTTACTGCTTCAAATTAACTGGTATAGAAGTTTCTGCCTTAGGTAGCCATAGAGGTGGCTGTGTATTTAAATGGGCATTTACTCATGAAGTAAAATTGATTGTTCCATATTAAAAAAAAAAAATTGTGGCAGGCCACCGGTGCATGTAAAATTATGTTCTCAGAAATGACATTTGTTTTGACAAATAGTTTCTTATCAGAGCTGTTTAGCTGTGAGGAAGGGTGACAGACGGATCTGATCCTCCACCACGAATGTGGCTGTTAACACATGCATGATTGCATGAACATGCTCTGCTCATCAAATGGGAATGGGGCAGCAGAAAGACTGGCTCCAAGGGGCTTTGGCGTGCCCTATCTCAGCATCACTCCACTGTTGCTGGTACGGAACACTTTCCACTTGAGCTGAATACCACAACATTTCAGGGACACTAAAAGACATCTAACTTGATAACAAGAGGTCAAATCTAAGAACCAACCTTAAAAAGAAGTTGCTGTGAATAAAAACATTCATATGGGTGTTTTGTTCATCCTGTCACACATGCCAGAAACCTGGGAGACTTGGGCACCAGTGTCTTCCTTGCCCATCATTTTCCTAGCCTGCCAGTTACATTTCTTCACTGTCTCTTTAGTCTAGCCAGAACACTATAGACTATTCCGGTAGTCCACTGACTGCTGTTCCCACATTCTTACCACATCATCCAGTCCCTTACGCTGTAGCTTGCAATCTTACAAAAAATACAAATGTAATCTTGTCACCCTTGTGCTTAAAATGTGCTTTTGGCTTTGCTCTTAGTGTAAGGCCTCAATTCTTTTTTTTTTCTTCAACTTTGAGATTCAGAAGGTAGATGTGCAAGTTGGTTACATGGGTATATTGCATGATGCTGAGGTTTTGGGTATGATTTAACCCATCACCTAAGTAATGAGCATAGTACCCAATAGTTTTTCAACCGTTGCCTCCCTCCTCCGTCTAGTAGTCCGCCGTGTCTATTGTTCCCATATCTTTGTGTCCATGTGTGCCCAGTGTTTAGCTCCCACATATGCATGAGCAGATGCAGCATTTGGTTTTCTGATTCTGCATTAGCTCATTTACAATAATGCCTCCAGCTGCATCCGTATTGCTGCACAGGGTATGATTTTTTTCACTTCTTATTGCTGTATAGTATTCCATGTTGTGTGCATTATATTTTCTATCTGATCCACCATGGATAGATACCTGGGTTGATTCCATGTCTTTGCTATTGCGAATGGTGCAGTGATGAACGTATGCATGCATGTCTTTATGGCAGAATGATTTATATTCTTTATATCCCTTTGGGCATATACTTATGAATGGGATTGCTGGGTTGAATGATAGCTCTATTTTTAGTCCTTTGAGAAACCTTCATATTGCTGTCCACAGTGACTGAACTAATTTACATTCCCACCAACAGTATATGTGTCCCCTTTTCTCTGCAGCCTACCAATATCCTTTTTTTTTTTTTTTTTTTTTTTGAGACGGAGTCACTCTGTCACCCAAGCTGGAGTGCAGTGGTGCCAACTGGGCTCACCGCAACCCCTGCCTTCCAGCTTCAAGCAGATCTCCTGCCTCAGCCTCCTGAGTAGCTGCGATTACTGATGCATACCACCACACCCAGCTAATTTTTGTATTTTTTGTAGAGACGGGGTTTCACCACGTTGGCCAGGCTGGTCTCGAACTCCTGACTTCAGGTGATCTGCCTGCCTTGGCCTCCCAAAGTGCTGAGATAACAGGAGTGGAGTGAGCCAGCGCACCTGGCCTTTTTTTTTACTTTTTAGTAATAGCCATTCTGCTTGGTGTGAGATGGTTTCTCATTATGGTTTTGATTTGCATTTTTCTGATGACTAGTGATGTTGAGCATTTTTTCATATGTTTATTGGCCACTTGTGTGTCTTCTTTTAGAAATGTCTGTTCATGTCCTTTGCCCACTTTTTAATGGGGTTATTTTTTGCTTGTGGATTTAAGTTCCTTATAGATTCTGGACATGAGACCTTTGTCAGGTGCATAGTTTGTGAATATTTTCTCCCATTCTGTAGGATGCCTGTGTACTCTGTTGATAGTTTATTTTGCTGTGCAGAAGCTCTGTAGTTTAAGTAGGTCCTACTTGCCAATTTTTGTTTTCGTGGCAATTGCTTTTGAGGACTTAGCTGTAAATTATTTGCCAAGAAAGGCCTCAATTCTTCTAACCTGGCCTCTGAAGCCTTGTATGGACTTGCTGCTCCCCACCTACTTCTCAACCACAGAGGCAACAGTGTGTCCGCTTACTCAGGGATCCCACTCCCCCTCCCCCGCGCTGGAGAAGTGCTGGAACTATCCTCAGCCCTGTTTTACTGGGTCCCAAATTCTGTTGTAGATCTGAGCTCAAATGTTCCCTTCCTGATTTTACATATGAGCTTTGCCTATTATACACTCTCAAAGCAACATTTTTGGTAGCAAATTTCATGATTGTAACTTTTATTTTTCTGCCCAGTTCTTTGAATGAATCTCTTCTGCGTACCATGGGTCTCACAGATGGCCCACATCCAAGCATTGTGCCTCCCTGAGTGGTGCTCAATATTTGTATGAATGAATGAACTCATTGATACAGGTTACTTTGCTAAGATAAATTTGAAACATCAGTTTTTTCCTGAGTTTTCTCTGAAGCCTAGCAAGTGTGGGGGAGTGGCTCCCCATGGAAACAGTTCCTATTTCAGCTCCCTCAGCAGCTCTCATGATTATGCCATTATCATTGAGTCAGTCACTGGGAAGCATCCCTCAGCAAATGATGGTCACTCCCAGAATCTGCCATTAGACATGATGGGTTGCTTTCAGCTCTCTAATTAGAAAAGTTGACACTTTATTTTACATGTGCTGATGTTGGCCTCAGTTCAGTTAACATCAGGTTGAGATCTATTATTATTGAGCTCTAAACTTTACGTATATTTGAAAGTGGTCTTGGAAGCTGGAGTCTCCTTATTTCAAAAAGTCACATTGTAAATTTCACTAGATACACCATTTGTGGATAATGGAAGTCTTAACCACTTCATAACATCTTTCTCAAAGTCATTAATTCTTCAGTCTGGGCATGTCAGAGGTAAGAGGGTAAGTAATACAGGCTTAAAACCCTGAGGTTGGTTTTTGACTCCTTTACTTCCTTTGCAGTGCGAAAGATCCGTTACATCTAACCTTCCTTTACCATCCTACTTTAAGCCCTCGTCATCTCTCACCTGGACTGTTGATCAGCTGCTAACTGGTCTCTAAGTTCCATTCATCCACTTCCACTACCACCACCTGCAACCTTCTGCCCCCAGTCTTTTTTGGCTGCCCACTTGTCAGTCTTAAAGGTGTCATCATGACACAACCAAAAATCCTTTGGTGATATTCCTTACTCATTCCCCAAGCCTCAATTCTGAACTCCTAAATTTGAGTTAAAACTACATATCATCCTGTGTCCCACCTTTTTTTCTTCCATATTCTACAGGATGAACTGTATATGTCTAATAACGGGACAGATACACCAGTGGTCATAGCAGCATTATTTACAGTAAACGGTGAAATCAGCCCAACACGTGAATGGCTAAGCAAACTGAAATATATACACGCAATGGAATCTTACTCAACCATAACAGAGATTGAAGGAATTTCTTTGGTTTTGGTTTTGTTGTTTTTGTTTTGTTTTTTGAGACAAAGTCTCACTCTGTCACCCAGGCTGGAGAACAGTGGCGTAATCTTGGCTGACTGCAACCTCCACCTCCTGAGTTCAATTGATTCTCCTGCCACAGCCTCTTGAATAGCTGGATTACAGGTATGCACCATCATGCCTGGCTAATTTTTGTATTTTTAATAGAGACGGGGTTTCACCGTGTTGTCCAGGCTGGTCTCGAACTCCTGAGCTCGGGTGATCCGTCCACCTTGACCTCCCAAAGTGCTGATATTACAGGTGTGAGCCACTGCTCGTGGCCTAGAATGAAGTTCTTACATGTGCTACGACATGAATTACCCTTGAAAACTTATCCCAAGTGAAATAAGCCAGACACAAAAGGACAAATACTATATGGTTCCACTTATATGAGGTACATAAAGTAGTCAAATTCAAAGAGATAGAAAGATGGTGGTTGCCAGGGGCTTCTGGTAGGGAAGAACGGGGAGTTATTGTTTAATGGGCACAATGACTCATGGATGATGGAACTGTTTGGAAAATAGTAATGATGGTTATACAACATTGTGAATGTACTTAATGCCACTGAAGAATATACTTAAAAATGGTTAAAGAGACAGGCTTCATATAATATTTTACCATTAAAAAAAATACATTTGTCATCTCAACCTTCCAAAAGTTCTTACTATTGAGATCAACACTGGCCACCGCCCCACCATGTGCACCATGGTCCCAGCCAGCTCTTTGGTCTCCTGTTCTTATGAGCATCAGAGAAAAGCCTCTTTCATGGAAGGTACG